TAAAAAAGAACAAACCACACTGGAGCACTCGCCAACCACCCGCTCACTCAGTTCATTTTCCAAGAACGTTAACAAGTTTGCTAGGCTTCACTTAAAGTCCTCTATGAATGATTTATTAAGGTCCACTTGAGGTCTCCCGTAAGAACTTACTTGACCTATTTCGCACATCCAGGGTCCCCACTGTAATTTTGAATGTAGGGCCAACAGATGATTTGAACTTACCCTTTTGAATTTTGAATTTTGAAGAAATCAAAACTCTAGAATCACAACGTTCTACCTGCTCAGTATCATGTTTATCATTCAATATACACAATCATTTGATTGATTGATTGGTTGATTGATTGATTGATTAATTGATTGATTAATTGATTGATTGGTTGATTGGTTGATTTACTGACTGCCTCACTGACTGACCGACTGACTGATTGCTTGCTTGCTTGCTTGCTTGATTAATTGGTTGATTGATTGATTTATTGGTTGATTGATTGATTTTACTGCCTGTAATTGGCTGTTCAGTTCTTTGTTTACATAATTGGCTTTGGAATTTCTTTCCTCTTTCCAAAAGCAGAGTTTACTTTTAATATTGAGAGAGCCCTCAAAGGCTGAAACGAACTGGTCTGTGGCATTTATTTATTCATTCATTCATTCATTCATTCATTCATTCATTCATTCATTCATTCATTCATTCATTCATTCATTCGTTCATTCATTCATTCATTCTTTCATTCGTTTGTTTATTCCTTTATTTATTTACTTATATAATATTTTGGGTTTTTTTGTATTCGACTGAACGATTGTTTGTCTGCCAGGATCTTTGTTTACGTGGCTGACGTTTAGGTTCATCGTTTCTCTTTGATAACCAGAGGGTAGTTTTATTACTGTGAGAACTCTCAAAAGGTTTCAACAAATTGACCTACAGCATAGTTTGCGTGGGTGGTTGGCTTGTGCTCTGGTGTGGTCTGCTTCTTCTTTCCTATCCAACATCTATCGTCCTTATCTGACCTTTTTCTTTTTTATGTTTGTTACTCTCTTGTAAAACCTTTAATCTTCTGGCTTTCATATGACCTTATGCAGTTGCGAGCGCCGTAAAACATCTACTAAAACTAAAAGCATAGTTTGCCGAAGACAAGACACCTTTCTCAAGTTGGGGTCAACATGATTAATTGGTTGATGAAGTGGATGGGTTAAATAACGCCCTTATAAACGGTTCGAATCAGACATCGACGGCAACAACTTTTCATCAACGAACCTTTAGCTTCAGTTGACCCTTCTTTGAATGTTACCGTTGTGTGTGTGTCATTGTGGTATGTAGTACATGTATTAATGTTATTTTACCGTTGTGTGTGTCATTGTGGTCTGTAGTACATGTATTATTGTTATTTTACCGTTGTGTGTGTCATTGTGGTCTGTAGTTCATGTATTAATGTTACTTTACCTTTCCGTTGTAAAACAACCCTATTCCTAATTAACAGACTGTGTCTATGAAGCTCTTAACTGATGTTTCTAAATTGTGTCGACGGGGTCGTAAGACACACACTCACACACACACACACACACACACACACACACACACACACACACACACACAC